TCTTCTATGTATGGCTCAGACCCCACCATCTCACGATTGTATGTGTGTGGAGTGATATCTGTGTGAGTCAGTCTATGTGAGTCAGTCCGTTATCAAACTTCCGCTGCATACATGCTCATCCTATATTGGTTGATCTTTGGTTCTGCCCCATGCTCGTTGATATTCTCACGAGTATGTAACAGTGTGGCCCGGTAGGCCCAAAATCCGAGTTGTGGGCTGCACAACAGGTCGTTCAAGTCTTGAGAGGACCTGCTGATCGCGCGACGTTAAAGAATTCCTGAGGAGTTACGGGGGATCTCCTTAAATGCCTCCTGATCAGCAACACGTCCTGTAGTGACAGCCTTAGAGTAGGTCTAGGCTAGAGACCCTAGTTAACAGGATCCTCTCCGGATTCTGTAATAGAGTCAGTAGGTTTTGTCAGTCGGGGGGTAGAGTCTAAGTGGTGAGGAGTGGAACCGTTGTCTGATTGTACACCTAACACCATGGTTGACACCCGTGGAGGGAAGAGCACTACCCCTTACACCCAGGCGCAAGAGGAGCGTGCCGCCGCCATTCTGAAAGAGGAAAGGAAATGAAGGAGAAGGAGCTTCTCAAAAAGGCAAAGTTAAGGGCGATCGCAGAGGAGCAGGCGGCGAAGAGGAAGAAGTTGGAAGAAGAGATGATGAGATTACAGAAGGAGGAGGAAGAGAAACGAAGGGCTGTTGAAGAAGCAGCAGCAGAAGAGGAAGAGGTAGAAGAGGTACCCCTCGACAGGAGACGCAGGGAAGAACGAGGGGAAAGCAATGGCACAAAGGGAGAGGATGCATGGATGGAGAAGAAGATTAGTGAGTGGGTGGTTAATTTATCGTTCGGAGAAGACGAAGAGGCACTGATGTACGTGCCCCATGAGGAGAGAGAAGCATTCGCTAGGGAATTGGAAGCGATGGCGGACCCCCTGGACCGCCAGACAGCAAAAGATGAAAAGAAGTTGGAGTGGAAGTTGCGTTAGACGAGGGTGGTACTGACGAAGTCCCCTACAGTCAGATTGAGTGGGGGCTCGAGGAGGAGGATAGTAGCGTAGGCCCAGAGAGGACCTATGTTGTTGTCGCAACTGGAGGGAGGCCGCAAGGTAGGGGAGGAGGCCAGGGCCACGAGTGGTCAAGGACCGGGCGCATAGGGGGTTGGCGACCAAAGGAACCGCCAAGAGGGAGGTCGGGGTCAAGGTCCCCCGCCAAATCGTCAAGGTCCTAGTCGGTCCCCGCAGCGACGAGGTGGAGGATCACCTCAGAGGAGAGGAGGTTGGCACCCAAGTTGGCCACAAAGCTGGCCATGGGAAGATCTGGGCCAAGACCAGTGAGTATGGCAACAACATACGGACCAAGGTCAGTGCATATATTGCGGTGACCCGGCCCATATCATTAAATATTGACCTAAGTACAGAGAGGCCCGATGGGCTGCCCAAGAGTCAAAAGGCAGCTGCTTGTAGGGGTTGCAACTGGCCCTACTACTAGGCCATGTGGAGAAGCGAGCGCGCGCGAACAGGAAACTCCCACACCACATGTGCCTTCGGCAGAGGTTGCAGGCCGGTGCCTAGCTAGTTGTCCAGAGACAACTTGTGTTAGCGTCTCTCTAGGCACTTCCCTCATAGGCCTGGCAGAAGAGTTGAAGGAGAGAATGTCTGCCTGGGCCAAAATGAAGAAGGAAAGTAAAGGACAACTACTATTAGTAGATGTAGAAGTTTTCAGATATAGAGTAGGAGCCCTTATAGACTCAGGGGCTACCCGCAGTTATATTAGCCGTAAAGCGCTGAAGAAGCTAAGGCTAGGGTTAAAAGTCCAAAAGTTGGAAGACCCCATAGCCAGTGTCCTCGCAGACATTCGCACTATGCGTGTTGAAGACTACGTAGGAGTCCAGGCGTATTTCCGCCTAGAGAAAGATAGGAAGGTGGAAGAGGTTCTCCATTCCCTGACTCTCCTCGTACAGGATGACCTTCCTTTTGACATAGTCCTAAGCATGGATTGGGGGGCAGCAGGGGCCACACTTCATTCGAGAGAGCATGAGTGTAGGATCCCTAGTCCGTCAGGCGAAGTCAAGACTGCCCGCCTGTTTCATGTGTCTGGAGTAGATAACTCCTTGGCACATTGTTGTCTCAGTGCTCCCGCGTTCACGTGATTAGTGAGAAAGGAGCAGTTAGAGGAGCAGGTCTTCGTAGCCTATGTGAGGCCTGTCACTGAGCCTAAGTAAGACACACCCATAGACCCAGCTATTGCCAAGGTGCTGGAAGAATTTAAGGATTTGACAGAGCCGCTGACAGGAGTAGTGTCGCGGCCAATCCAGCATCTTATAGAGATAGAGTCGGCCAGTAAGACTCCTAAGGGAGCAGTCTACAGGATGTCCCCAAGGGAGTTGGAAGAGTTGCGTAAGCAGTTAGACAAGCTCCTCGAAAAGGGTTGGATTAGGCCCAGTTCATCTCCTTTTGGAGCACCAATTTTATTTGTCCCCAAAAAGGAAGGAGAGCTACGGATGTGTATTAGACTATAGGGGTCTAAATGCGATCACGGTCAAGAACACTGAACCGCTGCCCAGGATAGACGATCTTTTAGATCGGGTGCAGGGTTGCAAATATTTATCAAAGATTGATTTGAAGTCCGGATATCATCAGATAGAGGTCCACCCTGATGACCAGTACAAGACTTCATTCCGGACTAGATTTGGGCATTATGAGTTCATAGTGATGCCCTTTGGACCGACCAATGCGCCAGCTACATTTCAGTGATGTATGAATGATTTGTTTAGGCCTTGGTTAGATAGATTCGTCATAGTTTACTTAGACGACATCTTAGTATTTAGTAGGACCCTCCAAGAGCACCAGGGTCATTTGAGGCAGGTCTTGGAGAAGCTGAGAGAGGCTAACTTCAAGATCAACGC